AAATAAATAAATTTTAAAAAATCCCCATTAACTTGAAAAGATATATTCACCCCTATGTTCATTGCAGCATTATTTACAATAGTCAAGATATGAAAGTAATCTAGGTGTCCATTGATAGATGAATGCAGAAGATATGGTATATATATGCAATGAAGTATTAGCAATAAAAAAAAATAAAATATCGCCATTTGTGACAACATGGCAAGGCCTGGAGGGTATTATGATAAGTGAAATAAATCAAACAGAGAAAGTCAAATATCATATAATTTCACTTACATATGGAATCTATAAAAAGAAAACAAATGAATAAACAAAATAAAACAGAAACAACTATAGATATAGAGAACAAGCTGATGGTTACCAAAGAGGAAAGGGGTTGTAGGGGGTGGAGATATAAATAAATAAATAAATAGATAGATAGATAGATAAATAAATAAATAAATGAATGAAAGAATAAATAAATAAATAAATTTCCACCTTCATAATTCCTTCAACTTGTTTATTTGGAATATTATATGATATGATTCTAAAAAGGTAAGTTGCAGCCAGTGAGTCATATAGTAATTTACCCTCTAAAATAAACGCGATTTTAGATATTTGTGTTATTTTTCCCCCATAAACTTACATTTTATTGTTACTTGTGACTTTATAGTACTACTACTGGGCTTTTTCAAGCAGTCCTTGAAATTATTTCTATTTAAAGAATAAAAACTGAGTTTCACCTTTTTGTTATATTAGTGGAGTTACAATGCTTAAAAGAATGAAAGCATCTGTTTTTTATTGGTATAGCGCAGTGGTTTAGAATGTAGTCTGACTTGCCTTCTCTGCCACTTACCAAGGTTCCTGCTCTTTGCAGAGTAATATGTACCAACAGGGAATAAATCCATACACTTAGCTCACATTCAACTCATATATTCCTGTGAGCAAGGATTAATATAGGCCTGTGTTCTACTCCTGAAAACCCCAGAAAAAGACACTATGAAAGCCCTGTTGATAACCGGACACATAGGATAAGGAAGTTCTGTCTTATATCTATCTTCCATCTCTTCCAAATAAAATTGCTATAGTCTGTAGAGCCTCAAATAGGAGCATGCTGGTGTCTCAAGGCTGGCTGGCATAGATAAGAATATGGCTTTGAAGTATAAAAAAAGAGCAGAAATAGGTTGTGGTTGTAATTGGTGCTATTTACTGATATTCTGATTCCAATCTCTTTTGAGGATATATAGCATAAGTCATTTTCTTATTATCTAAACTTGGGCATGACTGTAAACTCGCTTTGGCCAAGGGAATGTAAGTAGAGGTTATACGTGCCATTAATGAACAGAAGTCTTTAAGTAAGAACATGATTTGCCATGTCTTCTTCTATCTGCCATGTTATTGTGGAACCTCACATCAATATGGATCCTCTATCACTATGAGTTTCCTTAGATGGGAAGAAACTTCCCAGCAACCTAGTATTGCATATAGCATAATGGGAAATAAAACTTCATTATTTTAAGCCACTGAGATTTTAAGGTTATATGTTATTGCAGCATAACCTTGTCTATTTTGACGGATGTACATGGTTTCTAAGAAATATCAATTCTTAAAGAAAGTGAAAACCAGAATTAGGCCAGTGACATCAACCTAGGTGAATTCAGGGAAGAACAATCTGAAGCTGAGCAGATATCAGAAGTGGATGCCATTTATAGAGAAAGAGGCAACAGGCAGGAATTAGGCGAGGGCCTTAAGTTCCAAGTCAATGAAGCTGACAATTTGAAACAGCATTCTAGTTTTAGAAAAGAATTCAAATGATTCAGTAGATACATCAAGCAAAAGTTGGGGATATACACAGTGGGTATTAATATGAGAAATGAGAAGATGGTTTCCTTTATAGTTATGTGGGAACTTGGATGTTCTATAGTGACTCCAAATGTCAAGAAAACAACTTGATACTCTTGTAAATATCATTCTTGTTGACTAAGGCCCTGGGCTTGCCTAAGCTTGCAGTTGGTAGGTCATTATTGTAACCAGCTGGTTAAGGTTAGAGCAGACAAGACCTGAAACAAAGAGAGAACAATTGGTAGTAGAGTCTATTTGATAATGTGACAATGTTTCTTCTAAAGCAATATTGTTATTAAGCCAATTCTAGCTTTCTATTTCTCAAATCTAACAATGGTTGTTCGAGGAACATGATAGGTTATATTTTCTAAAATTAGCCATCTTTCTTATCTTTTTGTGAGGAGGGTAGGAGGGACTCTCTACTAATTTTCCGCAAATTGTGGGACCTGAAGCTAATATATTTTTATTCAATTATCACTAGTATTGATTAAATCTAATATTGCTCCTTTGGATTAAATTGTCTAAAATTTCTTGTTCACTATGATTCACTGTATAGTGTCTCCTGAGTAGATATGAACATTTTAAAAACTCCTACCATATGAAAAACCATGATGGAATTTTGCTGCTGTTTTCACACTAAACATATTGAACAAAGAATAACCCAATTAGAATAATTGTACATGAATTTATCTTTATTAAACGATGTTTATAATTTCCTAGTGCTTGGCTAAGATTTTTTTTGTCTCTATCTTCTTTGATTATAATTCCAATTGAACATGTTAAGACTCAGTAGATTTCACAAAATTAAGAAAAAGTGACACATTTGAAATATAAATGCTTTAAAATTACAGTGTTTTTCATTTTGTTTATTTGTGAAGTGATAATGTAACAGAAAGGAAAAACAATACCCAAAATGAGATTTTAGTCATACATTTTGTTCTGGACAATTGATTTTTTGTTTATAAAATTAAACATTAGGGAAGGATTTTAGGTAGATTCTAGTCATTTACCTATAGATTATAATAATGTGCGTGTGTGTGTGTGTGTGTGTGTTTCATTTTGACTGTCATCCAATTGAGAATGGAAGTCAATTTTGAAGAATTGTGGAAAAAGAGTGAAGTCTCATGTGACTACAGTGGTTACACTCTAGATAACCATACATTCTTTCTGGTAGGTATGTAAATGTTGACTTTCACTGTGCCCAATTAAGATTCCTTGGAATTTTAATTGTTACTCTCATAATGTATAGCTCTCTGATGTGAATGAGCAACTCCATCTGCATTCTTGCATTCCACCCCTCAGGATACCTCTGCGTCCCCCACCCCCATTCTACCTGGACTACCCAGATAATTTAGTTTGGAGGTTCCTCAGATACCTAGTGTCAAGTACTAAGAAAGAGGAGCTGAGCCAAACTTACTAGTGAAGGATTTTAATTTCTTCAGAGATTATCAAACTGATAACTGAATTTCAAAATTTCCATGGTCTTGTTCACTGGGTTGTACACTTTGTATTGTTTTTACTACATTGGTTGCTTCCCTTCTTCTTCCTATTTTTTTCCTATACTTTATTTGAGTTTCTCATTATTTTTATAACTTTTCATGATAAACAATTAGCTTATTAATTATTAATTTTATGCTTTTCTATGTTTCTAATATATACATTTGAATCTATACACTTCCATATAAATACTGATTTAGCTGCATCCCACAAAGTTGACATATTTTTTCATTATTTTTGTGTATATAATGTTTTAAAATTCCTAATATAAATTCTTCTTTATGGATTATTCAAAGCATCATTGTCCAATAAAAACATAACATAGACACATGCCAGCCACATTTGTGATTTAAAATTTTAACCTTTGAATCATAAGATTTCTTGGTCCTCTGGTTGTGCTCTGTGTGATGTCTTGATACCGTTACCCCAGATTCTTGGACACAGCCTTTGCCTGTTTCTTATTAGCTCTATTCTATTTCCTTGCCCATAATTTTCTTGGTTCCTCCAACACTCCTGCTATTAACCTTTCTGGCTTAAGACTGCCTGATTTTACTACTTTCTAATCCTTACCTCTATTGTGCTGTTTGAACTATCACCCTCTGAAACTCAGCCATTCTCAAAGATTTCAACTACTGTGCAGAATGTTTAGATCCTTTTTATCTTTCAAAACAAGAAATATTTTTAATATTAGTATATAAATTTAATTATGTCACCAAACCTATTAGTTTATTTTTTCTCACCCCCAGAGTTTATCTATAGTGTTCTTGCCCCACCCATAAAGCTTCCTGAAAGCTTTATGCAGTTCAATCTTATAAACTTGGCATTTCACCAGCAGGATATATTTCTGATGGGTGAAAAGTATTGGTCTTCCAAAATACATGAGACATACATACATAGCCTAGGCCACATCAACTACTTTATAATACATATTGAAAAATAATGTCTTCCATTAAATCAACCCTACTGGATCCCTTATTTCCACTAGGGAAGTTTATCTTAGTGCTGATGTGACAGTGGGGACTGGTGACTTTGCAGAAACTTTATTTATGAATATTTATGGTTTATTTTGCTGACAATGTAATTTGAGGCAATAGATAACTATTTGAGAAGTTAGCTACTAGAAGCTAACTACTAGTTTTTCTCAGGAAATTTAAAAAAATAGCCCGAGGAAAAGATATGGTTAAAAGTAAAAAGGAAAGAAAAAAAGAAACCATTTTCTTGCTCTGGTGCAACATTCAATAACTATTGTGTTTGAAAACATTTTTATATACTATAAGCTTTCTCCCAGCTTATAGAAAAGCTAGTCTGTTGGCTGGCTATAACTGCAGAATTTCTAAATATTCATAGAGAATATCAGTTCTTTAACATACAGATGTAAAAATCTGCTCTCTTAAACCAAGCAACAGGTCCTTTCTTAGCATTTACTGGTGTTTTCACTGTAAGCACTACCCAAGAAGGAATAAAATTTAGTATCTGAATAACACTTAATTATGGTGAAAAAAATCCAAGAGACAGGGAGAGAGACAAAGAGAAGGAGCGGGGAGAGAGAGAAGGGGAAAGAAAGAGAAGGAGAGAGTGTGTGTGTGTGTGTGTGTGTGTGTGTGTGTGTGTGTGAGAGAGAGAGAGAGAGAGAGAGAGAGAGAGAGAGAGAGAAAGATTTTTTGCACTGAAAAAAAAAAAGTATGAACTGGTTAGAATCAGAGGAGTTCAGTGTCCCTTTAAACTGTGGTGCTGCAATTGATCTCTGTATGTTTTCTGGTATTCGTTCCTTTGAAAGGAGAATGAGAGCCAAGATTATTGGCTGTACTGTGAAGCTGTCACATCTCAGTACTGAAAAGGTACAGTACAAGTGAATTGAAACAATCTTTAGCGTTCTATTACATATCTCCAAGAGCTCTGAGAATGAACCAAGTGAATGTTTTATTTATGGCTATGTGAGTTACAAATCCCTCCATTCTGACAGCATTTCAGCCTCCGGAGTGAGAAAGCAGCAGAAGCAGCAGCAGCAGAAGCAACAGCAGTAACAACAGCAACAGCAGCAGCCCCCGCTGAAGTCCAGTAGAGGAGACCTGATCTCTATCTAGCTCATTCTGGAACTCCAGCTGGAATCGTGCGCTATCCAGGGTCCTGAAACATGAACCAAACTGCCAGCGTGTCCCATCACATCAAGTGTCAGCCCTCAAAAACAATCAAGGTAGGACCCAGGTTTTCTCTCTTCCCTCTGCTTTGCACACATATCTTCATTAATCTACTTAACATATGGACATTGGTATCGCAGGGCACAGACAGTGGAGATATCCAGTTGGTTTGAGTTTGAATTAAAGGTTAAATGTGAGTAAAGCATTTGTTTCTGTTTTCATGTGTGTGTAGCCTGGAGAGAGTAGTTTCCACTTAACAATTCTTTTACTTTGATGACTTTTGCTTTTTTGACTGAGACTATATTAGTGGTATATTTCAGGAAGAAAGTTTAATGAGTTTCTAGAAGAGTTTCTAGTTCACGTCAGTTTTCTTGACGGATCTGCTGGAAATAGATAACGTTAAATTGAATACGATTTGATAACAGTGTTTCATTGTCATATAGATTTGGGACTTTTTATCCTTTACAAAGAAGAGTGTATTCCTCCTTGAGAGTGTTGAACTGGTGGTTATACTAAAGTGACTATAGTGAGAGAGTATAAAAGACTGTAGAGGGAGTATAAAAATGTATATTCTTATGTATGCTGCTATATAACTCAAAACCAGTGAGGTGATTGGAAACACTCTTTAATTCAGGTGCTTGTTTTAAGGTTGAGGCTTTTCTGAAATTATTAAAGGAAAAAGAACAAGATCAGAATTGTACTGTTGTATTTTAGTTTTAAGAAATGTTTATAACATTTTCTTTGATTTTACTTATGATATTTTTACTTACAAGGAGACTTATAAAAAACTAGATTCCAGGAAGGATTTACTCTATTTTTCCACTTATCTGTATTAGATTGTTATCTGTGTAGATACTTTGCATCTGGGGGAAAAGTGATAGGTTCCCGTGAAACTCTTTTATGGAAACTATCTAATAACCTGATAGATCATCTTTAGTTAACTGCAAACTCTAATTTACATACAATTGCATATCTTTTATTGCGGTTCAAAATTTGAGAAGACTAGATTTTTATGACTACATTACTTTTTGGTTTATATCACAGACCTTTGGCAATATTTCATAGACTGTAATTACAAAAATAATATAATTTCCAACAATAGGTCTTACCTATCTTTTGTTAGAGTTTTTCAGTGACAAATAGACCATAAACTGAACATTTTGCACCATTTATCTGCAATTATTTTTAAAAACAATAAGGTCTTCAGTATATATTAAATGATACATAATAATATTCCCAACATAAATAAATACATAGAGTTAACTGAAATTGCGAAGAACTCAAATTCAGGTAATTTGCATCATCTCTAATGGCAAAAGCAGAATCTTTTTCAGCATAGAATTTTCTGAACTGTATTCAAGTTCAAAAATTAAAATACTGAGCTTTAGAATTTTTGTTTTTTTTCTGCATTTCAGATTCCCATATATGTCAATTATATAAGCATACCATCACCGAATGTTGCCAAAAGAGTACATATAAGACACTCTACATTATGATATGTAAACTCTAGTGGAAATATGTGTTGTAGCTTAAGGTGAGATGGAATTACAAACCAGCTGTCTACCTTTGAGTATGGTTAGAAAACCATAAAATGACCAGTGGCTTTTTGTTTAAGTGTTTGAGGTCCTAGGAATCACATGATTTATTTGCTCTTTTATTAATTGAGTAAGGACAAATGAATGGTACTTTCTGAGACTTAAAATCTCTTTTCTTATTGGTGCTCTGGCATTGACTGCCCTCAGACAAACTGTGGAGGCAGAAAAATGTTTCTAGTGTAAGGGTTTTACATCATCTTGCTGATCTTGCAGATGCTGTTTTTTCATTCTAACTGCAGCCATTGAATTGAAATGAAAAGCATCATAAAAACTGGACAATCCACCACTTAATAATGTATTATATTAATAGCTTAATGAAGGAATTTTGAATCAAAGCTCTGGGTGATTTGGTTAATTGTAGAAGTTAAGTTCTTTTGTGCCCCACCCCCACCCCACCCCCTGATTTTGCTCAGGGGAGGAAAAGATGCTTGTGATGTTCATAAAGTATATATAGTTGCAAACACTGAACCATTAACGGAGTAATTGCTTGAATATTTTCCAATTTGCAACAGTAAAAAGAGATGAGTGGAAAAGCTCTCTTACTTCAAATTATGTGCTCAATTATGAAACATTTATGGCTTTTGGAATTTATACTAAAAACGGCTATCTATATTTAGGTAATGCATTAGCCTATGAACAAAATGCAGTAGCAGCTTAAGGAAAAACCCTAAGACGAGAGATTTTATAAAGCTATGAAATATTGAAGCTCAACAGACTCTTTGAACTTTTGAGATCTGTCTTCTTTTGTTTCAAGCATGGTGTTTTCACTCTTAAGTTACTTTCTGAAAATTTTAAATAAAACTTTCTTATGGAATCTGGCCTACAGATAATTATAAGTGACCCAATTTGGGTTCGGGAAATATCTAAATATGTTATAACTTGTGAATTGCTTCATTTTAGAAATTCTAAAACCTCTAGAGACTTTTCCCTCATATTTGAGCATAATAAACATTGAGGGAATTGTTCTCCATTGTCCGTGTAGTAAACACTGGCTGTTCCTTCTCTTGACAGTTTAACTACTGCTAAAAATAATGTAATGGGAATGCACAAAAATGAACTGCATTGGTTAAAAATAGCTTTAAAAGCCAAAGAGGAGGGGAAAAAAAGCAGGTGTGTGTGTGTGTGTGTGTATGTGTGTGTGTGTGTGTGTGTGTGTGTGTGTGTGTTTCCTACTTGAAGTTTAAAAAGAGATATCTGCAGTGGGTCAGATTCAGCAATTGCTGCCATTAAAGGTTGTTTGTGGTCATGGTGGTGGTAGAGTTGGAGAAGGGGATCAAATGTTCAACATTATTCAGGTTGCATGACATTTGTTTTTGTCATTCTGTCCATTTTCTAGCTCAACCAGTCTACAATATTTTTTTTTCTGATGTATTTGTGCAGGTATGCTCCTCTAGTCAAAGCTGATAAGAGACAACGGGCAGAGGTAGTCAAATAAAGGGGCCAGGCATGTTCTCAGATCACTTTGGACAAAATGTTGAGTGCAATGCATTTATAAATCCCTCTCTCATTTCAGAGCTTGTAAAGCAATAAAGCTTTTCCTGAAATGGTTGCAACTCTTACCGTCAGACACTCAAAAAAAAAAGGGGGGGGAACTTTAACTCTGAGGTCTGTAATGGAAAGTTTTAGGGACTATCTGGAAATGCTAAAATATGGATGTAATCTTGGCTTATTATACACTTGATTTCTGACGGATTGTCCCCATCTTAGGCAACAAACGCTTATTTCTTCTTTATCTTGGCTACTCTTGGCTACAGTAAAAACAAATTAAGTATTTTAGTCAAATCTTTAGACTTGGTTTACTTTTTTCCCAATAGAATTGAAAATTTAGCATTATGCCTAAAATAGTGAGATTTTTTTTTCACATTTTAATATAAGTCTAATATCCATGCATATCTAAGGGTAGGAGAAGAAATCATCCTTTTTCTGTGTATAAATTATCAGTGTTGGTGATTCCTAGATCAGAGATCATATATATTTATATTATTATAGAGACTCCAAAATATAGTACTCAATATATCTTTTTTTACCTTTCCCATCTAGTGACTTTCATATCAGTCTTTCTTTCCCTTTAGACTTTTCAAGAAGTGCCTGGTTTATTCTATCACAACTTTCACACCCAGATTCCTAGTTCTGTGTTGGAAAGGCTCCCGAGGTCTAAAAGTTTTGGTTTCTTCCTAGTTACTCCTGCTGGAATAACCATGAGTTTTTATAAAACATATTTGAAGACGTCTTTAGAATTTTTATTTTCTTCAGAATAAGCAGACACTTTTCATAATTTCAACTGCCTTTTATAGTGTACTATTGAAGCATTATTATGATGATAAAGTCTTTTCCACTTTCCTACCTCTAATCCATAACTCCATCCAAAATTGTGGTAAAAGAAACAATATAGAAAATAAGGGAATAAAAAAATGAAAATTTTATCGCAAATAATATTTGTTAAATCTGTAGGCTTGAGGGCATGATGGTTAGAAAATAATTTTTGTCTTTAGCAAATTGGTATTTTGGAATGTAACATTGTGATGAGTTTTAATGGTGAGAATAGCTTGGAATTGCACCAACTGGCAATTTACTGATTGTTAATTCTGCACTCCTAACCTAAATGATGTGTACCACATCTGTATTTCATATGGTACTTGAACTGATGTTGTAGTTTAGTCTTAAAGAGTATGTCATAATTATCCAAATTACATCCATGAAAGATTAGACAAATAAAAAGCATATGAGAAAAATTCTACCTTTTATGTCATTACTATACACAAAATGTAAAATTCTTCTCAATTTCACTATCATGTGAAATTCTAAGTGCGAAGATTAAAATATGCTTCTATATTGTGCTTTGTCTTAGAGAATTTTTGGTCTTAATCCTAAGGACTTTATTCATAAAAAAAAGAAATTTTATTAAGTTATAATCTCAACACAGACTCAGACACACTAAAGAAAGATTTGTTTTCAGTATTCAATGAACCCTACAATTCTATTTGGCAAGGTACAGATTTTCCCTGGGCATTAGGAGAATGCGCCATTCTCTTAAGTGGTGATATTTGAAGAAGCCAAAAGAGAAGACTTTATGAAAAAGTACAATAAAAGATATTGTATGAGAATTTTTTTCTCTCTTTTAGAAGTGGTCTTCATCTTTATAATTATTCTGACACAGCTTCCTTCATGTGCTTGAGGCAAAAATCATCATCTGTGATAAACAGAATAGAGTTATAAGTTAGAAATTCTACTGATGGCCAATTTATAGTCATTTACAATTTGCATTTATGACCAACTATTTACACTTTAAAGATTGTAAGTATTTCATATGGTACTGGGTGTAGGACCCAGCAAACTGTTTTAACAAGCCCCCTGGGTGTTTCATGCATATTAAAATTTCTGAAACAATGAGCTAAAGAACTATAAAATAAGTTACAATTGTACAGTGGTTCACCCAAAAGAACCATTTGTGTTTGGCTATC